TTGTTCTGTGAAGGTTTCGGAACAATTGGACCAGCCGTTAAGGAGTTAGAATTTCGGCCAGGTTTCCGGCCTTTTCCCATGGTTTACAATTTGCCCAGGAAGCCAGTATCGATTTTTTTTATCAAAACCCACGATTTATCCTTTCCCTTTTGGCCTTGTGGTTATGAATGCTGTCTGCTGACCATGAAGTTGTGAGTTCAAATCCCAACCTATCCTCAAGTCAAACTTTTTTCTTCTTTGTTTTGGTGATCAAGCTGGTACAAGACAAAGAAGATGGCTGCACCAAACGACTTGTTGTTGGAGCTCGCGCTTCCTGCCGAACTGACTGACACTTGACTGGCTCACGCCATGTGAACACACCCACAACACTGCAATGGTACGTGGTGTGAGTGAATATGGAAGTCATCGCGCTGTAGTTTTTGAGATTTATTCTAGTATTTCAAGATCGCCAATGTATTTGAATTAATTATTTAGCAGTCAACGCCGTCTTCTATCAGCGTTCACAAGCGTCTGCTTTTCTCAAAATGTCGTCGAAGTCACACGGATAGCTTTGCCAAGTCATGGCCTTGGGAATGAGTCCGTGTCGATGTCGTTTTCGTCACACGGTGAGTAAATTGCATCGCAGCTCAAAGAAACTATTTTGGTCACAAAACGAATTGGGACCCATGCCGCTCGTCAACATTTACAACACTTTCGTTTCGACATGTCCTCTCTGACTCCTTTATCGATACGAGGAAGAACTCGTTTGTTGTAAACCAGACGTACATGTCATGACTGCACTGTATCAACGTGAGTGAGTTGTCATTTTTCCTGCTTTCGCGCGGAATATTTCTTCGAGTTCACAGTGAGTTTTTCCAGGCAGCGCTCGAGTGCTCATACGGTAAGACGCCAAACTCCGCGGGCGATCGCCAGGATTGCAAATCTTTTTGAAGCGGACTGTAGGACACAGGCATGGTCAGAGTTTCCCAGAGGTGCTAAGGTATTGACGGTCGCATCTCCCGGTAGGTCAGTCATTATTAAGTCGAGTGGGTTAAGGGCTCATGCATGTGCTGCTCCAAGCAGTGAAAAGCACACATGTCTTCAGTGTACACACCTGCATGAGTTGTCTTGGTGCTGCCGAGCCAATCCACGTTGTGTACGTTAAATCTCCAGCCAAATACCACATATTGACAAGATTTACGGGCCAGGTCTATGCCAGCACTGATGGCTTCAAGGGTACTGATGTCATTGTCGTGGCAGGAGCCAGAGCGATATGCAGCACACACAGCCACTGACTTCTTATCCACAGTTCTGACACTCAGCCATATTAGCTCCTCATTACCGACCTGGATGTCATCGAGTTCTGGGAGGGCCAGACTGGCTTTAACCCAAACCGCAACTCCTCCTCCATGAGCTGTTCGATCCTTCCGCAGTGGGGAGTAGTACCCAGGCAAGGACAGTTCGGAATCAGTAGCCTTCTCAGGGGTTAGCTTGCTCTCTGTGACAATGGCAATGTCAGGTTGGTGAACGTGTACAGCATGGTGAAAGTCACCAAGTTTACTCAGTAGTCCAAATGTGTTCGTCAGCAGGATCCGAAAGGATCTAATTGGAGCTTTGAGCTTGAGTGTCGGAGGACTCGGAGAGAGCGTCACTGTGTGAGCCGGACAAGGTGTCCCCCTTTGGAGCATCACTGAGAGTGTCACTGTGTGAGCCGGACAAGGTGTCTCCCTTCGGACGCTCACGGTGGCGCCAAACCCGCGCGTACAGTGGGCGAGGCCAAAAGTTTGGAGCAGTGGCGATTTCAAGGTCAGTCGCATCGATCATCAAGCGGGCAGACACTTTCCCATCTTCTGTGGTGTGTATGCTGCACTGGTGAACCTTCACCGGTTTGTTTACTGCTGCAGAGCGTTGCTCAGTGAATTCCTTGACACTTTCTTCACTGCTATGTGAGTTCAAATTGCCCACATAGATTACGGCTTTCTTCACTCTGTGAGGTTCGTTTGATACCAGTTTCCACGTGTCATCCGTGATTGGCTCTAGCTTCAGTGGCTTGGGCTTGACAGTGGGCCGCTCAATTGCCTGGGACTTGTCCTCATCCTCCGTTGACGTTTCATGGTCACTGGCAGGGTCACCCACGCTACGGGAAGTGCTACGGTGTTCGTCTGCATCAGTGGTACACGTGGCAGCCTGGCCTGCGCGAGTACGGGTACGCTTGCTGGTCCTTCCCGCTGTACTCTCCATCGTACGCTGGCTGTGCTGGTTGTGGGCAACTGCTGGAGGAGTCAGGGGAGAAGCACTTGCTGCGACAATGGCGGACTCCCTGAGGGCGACAACCTCCTCGTTCAGGCCTGCAATTTGCCTCGATAAATCATCGATCCTATTCTTTAGTCGTGTCTCGCGGTCTGCGGACTCCGTCACAAATGTTGCCAGCGTCTTTACTACGTCTAAAATCGAAGAATCGATCCCGGGGAGGGAGCACAACAATTTTACCTCCGAATCCGTCAGCCCGCGAACGGCAGCTTTTGCTGGAGGCATGGCGGAGGTGGGCCAAAGCTATCCGATGTCTACCTAGTTTCCTACTACTAGTACTATACCTAATGTTTGAAACCAGGCCGGCCTGATGCCGGTTTCCTGGCGAGAAACTGTGGGAGCCTCAGAGCGCGAAAACCTGCACCCTGCTCCAAAGTTTGAAAAAATTGTACCGTGACGTACTGCGTTCGCCCAATTAGGTAAGATGTCAGCCATAGCAGGGGATTGCCGTCTACAGTAAATGATCCACGAAGCTTGGCCAAAAGCCCCCGGTGCCAGACGGTATCGAAGGCCTTGGCAAGATCGAAAAAACAAATCCCGACTAGATCTCCAGCATCCCGATGTCGACACACCAATTGCACCAGGCGCGTCAGCTGGAGGGTGGTAGAATCGCCTCTGCGAAATCCGGACTGAGCTGAACTCAAACGTGACGAGACATGACAGTACAATTGGTCGTAGAAAACGCGCTCACAGAGTTTGGAAACACAGGACAGTAGAGATATCGGACGGTAGTTTGATGCTTCGTGGCGGGACCCTTTCTTGTAGATCGGTATAACATTAGCTGTTTTCCATGCAGAGGGAAAACGACCAGTGCGGAATGATAGGTTGAAAATCAGACATAAGGGGTATGCTATTGAGGGCGCAAGGGACTTTAATACCAGATTAGTGATGCCGTCTGGGCCCGGAGCCTTGTCAGACGGGAGCTTTCGAATGTAACGTCGGATGGCAGCAGTCGTAGTAAAGACAGATGTGAGGCGGTCAACCTCACCCGACTCCTCGGCAATGGGGGGAATGGGTAGAGAAGGGTCATCAGGCACGGCCACTGAGGCGAACTGAGAGTTCAATGCAGTGAGTGGCTTTAGCTGAAGAGGTAGTAGCCTGCTGCGTAGAACTAATGGTGAGTGTCGGGATGTCACGAGATACTTTATGATTTTTTAATTTGTTCACGAACTGAAACAGTGATGGGCGGTTTTTGTCCTGCAGCGTAGCTTGTACGGACCGAATGTATCCCCGGTATTTCGATCGAGTCAGACTCTTCACCAAGTTCCGTTGAGATCGATATACATGCATGTTAAATTAAGCTGGGTTGGGTATTTCTTACACACACTGTAGAAATCGTGCTTTGCCTTAATGGCGGCACGGAGGGGGGCATCAACCCAAGGTGGCTGACCTAAACGTCGGCATGAGGGGGAGAGTGGACGCCGGGAGAAGTACCCGAGGTGCTTCTCCATGGCCCTGCTAAGAATAGAGTGGAAAGACGAAAGAGCGTCATCCACGTGCGAGCTGCGGAGGTGACATTTCCAGGGGACATCAGCAAGTTCAGCATTCAGGTCATCCCATACGCAACGTGGCACCAACTTGAAATTGTAACCTGGGGTTGTAGGGGTAGATGTTGGGAGGAAGTTTTACTACTCCCTCAACAATACAGTCATGTACTGAGGTGCGTTGGGATATGTAGTAGCGGTGCCTCGGATAAACCAACCGGGTACACGTGTACCTGGCACAACCATTGCATGCAAACGGGTCAGAGGCAGAGCCGGGTCCGTTCAAGTGCGGCTACTGCATGTATGTCATGTATATCAGCCTGTGATCAGGGAGTCCCTGATGTACATGCATGTACATGTACATGTTTATTGTACTCCCAACCTGGTCACAGCTACAGCCTAGTACAGGTGACTCGGTGTTCTTATTTATTATTTATTTTATATTCATTTATTTATTACAGCATCTCATAGCACAGTGAGAACACCGGCCAATACAAAGAGAGAGTCCAAACGAGTCCAAGTATCCCCCCCCCCCCCAACCAGTTCGCTGACCCGGCCCTGGAGCAGACACTGCATGACGCACCGCACACAGCACCGGTATATAAGTAATTTTAACACAATACTTTACCAATCATAAGTTCCAACTCATTCACACAATCAACATGACTCACTTTCAATACTTTACCATTCATCAAATTTTGATGTCAGACTATTGTCTAGTTATTTGCATTGCTTTGATGGAAATCGCAATGATGAATTGATTATTATTTTCCAGCGGAAACACACACCAATGCAGGAAACGCGAAAGGAAATTGAAAACGCAGTATCTGAGGGTCAGGGTCTCGCAGGCACGGCTATGGTTATGCAACTCGTATTTTCCACCAGCTGGATGATCACCTTGGGAGACCATGAAGACGTGAATTTTCTTGTCGTATGAAAGGCCTACAAGAAAGGCTCCAGGAGTGCTGCCACTTACATATGCTGTGGTGGTACCTGTACTTCCAAGTACAGTGTAGTTGAAAATTCACACAAACACACACACACACACACACATGCTCACACACACACACACACACACACACACACACACACACACACACACACATGCTCACACACACACACACACACACACACACACACACACACACACACACACACACATACACACGTGCGTACGCAACCACACACACACACATGCCGCCGGAGGCACGCAATCACACAAACACGTACGTACTCGACCGTCTAAATTCAGCGTGAATTGTGTGTATGAAATAACGCATAGGAACAAGAGCCTGCGACCACCACCAGCACAACCGTCATACATCATCGTCATCATCACTGGTACCGAAGTACCAGTATCACAGCCACCACCCGCCAGCCACCATGTACAGCGCAATACCACTCAGAGTAGTAACAGGGGTCAGCAAGAACAGAAGACATTGTTAAACATGCAGTGCAGGCTGAAGAAGTGTATACAAGCTGAAACCCAATATTTTTGGAAGGTGTATTTGCATGCCGTGAAGCTGAACAAATGGTGTCCACTGGAAAAAAAAGCTATCCAGCAGAACTTGCCGCACGGTTTATACCATGAGCAGATCTGCTGGGCGAAGCCTAGGAAGATCACCTTGAAATTTGTACCCGTTATAGTTCATGCAATGGAATTGTAATCAAAATTGAACCATGAAAGGTTTTCGAATCCTAGAATGCAATTAGTGCTAGGCAATGAGCCATGGTTGCCTATCTTGGGCGGTAATAACACTGTTCGTTGTGATTAGCATCAGCGTTTAGACATGGTAGAATTGGAAATAGGGAAACACGATTGGCCTACGGTTTCTCTTGGGATAGCAACGCTCGGTCGCTGCCGTCCTTCTTGCCACTTTCGCCGGCATGGGACGGTTTGCTGCTCGGCGACTGGTATCGTCTGTATTCGTCACGGCCCAGCAGGAACAAGACCACCGCAAACATGTACGGTATCAGGAAGCCGAGAGCGATGCCGGTGCGGATGTCCGGCGACGTCGACTTGCCATTCTCGCCTCCCAGCTTCGTCGTCAAGCCCGACACGATGCACATCGCGGCCAGTATCAGAAGGGATTTCCCCATGAAGCGGTGGTACGGCATGGCCAGGCGCCGGGCGTTAGCCGGAACACACGGGAAGGCGAACAGGATAAGGCCGAAGAGGTACTGCGCGCCGTACTGGATAACACACGCAAATCCGAACTGACCGTGAAAGCTGTCGAGATTCGTGTAACCGTTCACCGTGTGGAAATAGAATATGGCTGCCATGGAGATTGATACACACAGCAAAGAGAGGAACATGAGCAGGCCGTGGATGAACTTGAGCACCGGTTTGGAGCTGACACCGATGCGACTGAGTCCGCGGAACACCAGTACTCCATCACCACCGAGCAAAGCGAACCCGATAATCGCCATCAGCGGGTGCCAATTGAACGTCTTCATACTTCCTGACCAGTGAACCTCCAATCCGTTTGCGTTCACGTCCTCAAGGATCCACAGCAAGGCCAGCGGGAAAATGACGAACCATTTCATCACCTGGGCGAGTGTGAGCAGAATCCAGAACAACACGGCAAGAACCAGGCTGTTGCTCCTAGATTCGGCGTTATGATCATCTCGTTCCATTTCCACCTTCTTCGCTTGACCGACATCCCGGAACATGTTGCCAGGTTTTGCTCGCTGATACTTCCGTCAATACTCTCGTTGCAGGGAAATTTTTCGAAGCGAAGGAACAAATACCTCCGAGAGACGGCACGGCCAGGGAAATATCACCTTCTGGATGCGCAGAGACCAAGGAGAATCACAAAGTAGGGTATGGTGGAGTCCTGGATCAGCACAGCAAACTAATGGCCGTGGAGTTCGGAACACCTTGCGGCTTGCGCTCCACAACAGCCACGACCTTCGAAATCGGCCACACTTTGACACAACCCGCACATCTCTGAGTTGAGTGCATTATTTTCATAGTCCACCACATACCATGTACATATCTACAGAGTACAGTCATGACATTGTACAAAACAGACTGTCAGTAGATCTGGAATGAAGCCTGCGCATGTGACGTGAAGGACCATAGTCCATACTGCACTTCTACTAAGTTCTAGGACTAGGTCTGTAGTCGACAGTCAGTGTAGACTATGGTAGACCTACTGAGTACTGTCGACAGCTTCCTGCCAGGCATTGGCCCGATGATTGGGCATCTCCGCTCTACTACTCTCTACTCTACTACTAGTACTAGTACTAGTAGGTCTGACTGTCTAAGTACTGACACTGAGTGAGTAGATCTACTGTGTACCTGGTATACATGCATGTACAGTCGTCCCTCTCTAATCCGGCACTTTATAATCCAGCACCCTCGATAAACCAGCACAATTTTCAGTAGCCAAAATGTCCCCTTCATGTACATTGCAGCAGTAAATCAGATTTGTTAATCCAGCACCCTCCCTAATCCAGCAGATTTTCGTGGCACAAATGGTGCCGGATTATAGAGGGACCACTGTAGTACTGACGACCGGACCTGGTCCTGGCCCGGGTATGCTGGGGGCGCCACAGGTAGTAATTACTTGTAAGTACAGACGGTGTACATGTAGGTGGGAGGCCAGGCAGGGAACGAGGGTGCATCGCGTGATCCGCTCCTTTCAGACTGGTCCAGGGTTAGGGAGTCATGATACCAAGAGAAGTTGCCAAGACTGCAAGAGTCCATAAAATCATTTTTTGAGCTTTGGGCCTGTTGTGTTGACTACCTATGGCTATAATAATTATACTCTTGGTGATACAGTAAGTACTGACACTACACTGAAGTACTAGTAGCTGAAAACGTGAAAGTGAAAGGTAAGATGAAAGTCCTTTCACGACTCCAGGCTGCCTCATGCACGTACAATGACAATGAACTGAATTCCATTTGTATGTAGATCTATACATCATTACACGTACGTAGTCTGTCTGACTGTTCAAAATTTGGTCTAAGCCATAAGTGTTCCTCACTACTTTCCATGCATTCTTTCTGCCTTACTGTATATACATTGTAGGTACATGTATGGCCGTGACACTGTTGTCTGTAGATAAATTAATTATTATTTTAAAAAGTATATTGTTTTGTAACCGAGTCACCCTCATTACATTAGTGAACAGCATCCCACCGGCATCGTTTTGCATAAGCTAAAATGGGCGTACCCACGAACTCAACAAGGACCAATGACAATCAGTGACTAACTCACACAACCCCCTCCTCCTCCCTCTATCTCTGGGAACAGCACCTGCACACCACAACCAGGACTTAATTTCTGCTTTCAAATCTTGAATTCATTGCACATAAAAAGAAAACGGCACAAATAAGTTTGGAGATAGATGAAAATCGCACGTGAAAGTGCTTTGAAATCGATGCTAGATGCTAAGTCCACTATTAAAAATTGCATGCACCAACGTACTAAACTCAGCAGCCACCTTTTCAAGGGGAGAGGCTGAAGCTGAGGACCAAAAAAATGCAATTCATTGCAAGATATGAAGCTCTGAATCCAAACAGAAATGATAGCATGAAGCAATATCTGTGGAGAAGAAATGGCACTGCAAATGGCACTGCAATGGGGGAAATAGAGATCGTGAAGCTTACATTTCAGTGTTGCCTTTCATCTGGGGAAAAACTCCGTACTAGCGTACAGAACTCAGTTCTTACGCCTTCTGCAAAGAACGTGCCATCAGGCAGGCGAACACAGTCAGTACCATCTTTGGCTTGACCTCGACAAGATCCTCAGCCAGCGCGTAGATCCGTGCGCCGCACTTTCTGGACATTGAGATGGCATACTTGGCGTTAAGCAGCTTATCCTGTGCAGTGAATGTGACAGAAGCAACAAAAACCATAGTGAGAATCGCTGTTAACTTTATATATTTTATTGTTCAGCCAGCTCCGGTCACAGCTCAATTTCTTAACCCTTTGCGTGCTGGCTTGGTTTTCCCAATCAACTGGCACTCCAGCGCACAGACTCTCCTGGTGGAGTTTGGGCGCACTGCTCCAAACGAAATTTATTCTCATTTCAGTTCACCTGGATGGAATTTCATCATCCTGGGCTTGTTGGAAAGATCAGGACCAAGCAAATCGATCCTGGAAGCTCTCAGCTCCATAGCCCCACCAGGGCCACTTCCACGACCTCTCCAAACTGGCCCACCATGCCTTGGAACAAAATAACAGCTCAGTCACACATTCTTTTCGGCTCCTTGCTCGAATTCAATCCATTTTCACGATTCAAACTGCTCTGCAAAGCTGAGATCCACGCGCTTCATTTGATGTCCAGAACACATGCGTTGGGAAAAAGGGATATCCCCTGGCATGCTCCAAAAACTGCGAAGTCACAAACAAAACATTCGCGATCACTCCAGGCCGTGAAGTCAATCTTTATGCTATCGCAAAGCATTTATATCTCCGGAAAGCTGAGCTCAAGAACTTTCCAATGGTGTGTCGTTAGTGGAGATCGGATGCTCTTTCACAGAGTAACGAAAGTCTGTACACTTATCTATTCACCGCAATGCACGATGCAAACCAAAGCGAGTGTATACACGTCAACAGAGAACCGGCATGGGGTTCAGGTGCGTGTATACACGTCATCTGCAAGCAAACAGCTGATCATCGCTGTCATCGAGAATAATTCAAATCCATCCCCCCAATTCTATCTCAATTACTCAGTTTTGCTTCCTCAAACACCAGTACATTCTCCACACTTCTCCACTACACATTACCTCATCAGTGGAGGCATCGTTGACTTGTTCGTAGTCGATCAATCCTGGCCGGATGCAGTCCACAATGTCGATGACAGGGAGGCTCGTGGCGATGGATGGGTCCTTGAAGCTCTGGATGCTGGACGACTTGCTACCATCGGCGAGCTATCAAAGGGAGACAAATTAAGGTAAACTCACACGTTAGTATGCTATCTGCCAAGATATAGGTGGATCGGTGGATTATGAAATTTCCATTCACCGGACATAATCTACGGAGTAATTATATCTCAGTATATTATAATTCGACCAGCAGCCTAAATATATACAAATTAAAAAGGATCATCTTGACTGACAAAAAAACCCCAACTAACATCTACCCCAGGAATGAACAAGATACCCATAAGTAATACTTGATGTACACATCCATTCGCACAGCAACTTGCTCTGGCCATCAGCACACTTGCACAGTTCACTGGAGGGGAACATACCGTCCTGTTGGCCCAGTCCACGATATCAGCATCGTTGATCGTCTTTCCGCCGCCGGCCAGGGTTTCGAGCAGCTTGATGGTGTAAGCACGCATCATCTGCCAGGTGACAGCTGAAGTTCACAAACAGAACAGGAACAGTGGACCTCAGTCTTCCAATCATGATCTTCTGCACATCACCAAGGACCTGTCGGCATTTGAGCTTCAATGACATACTCGTATACATGTATTGATAATTGAACAGCTTGCCCTGTTTGTGTGTCAGGTGCAAGTTTTCCCTATGAGATTTGCACAGAAATCACCGTGCGTGCCACTTCTCACCTCAGGTAATTATTGAAATCCAATGATATCGGGTCCAAAATTTGCAAACTTCGCAAAATGACGGCTTTGAGCAGCAAAGCCAAGTTAGCCCACGCATGCACGTGTTTTGTCACGGGTTCGTCACGCGGCACATGAATAAAAAATATTTTTTTCCGAAAATGGTGGATGAAAAAATAAATCTTGCGTGGCTGCTTTGCCCTGCCTCGTGTCAGCAAAGCAACTTCCTTGTCAACAATTTCTGTCATCCAGTTAGCGAAAGTGACTCAAGGTTGTGTTTTCTCCCCTCCCTCCCTCCCTTTAGACATGACACGTCGGTATCTTGTGCCACGTGACGAGGCCCCAAGGAGGGTCAAATGCATTTGCCTCTCAGTGTTGTGCTGTACTGTCTCAGTGTTGTGACACCTGTATGTTGTTGTGTGGTTGACCCGCCGGTTTGAGGCATGGGTGGTCAACTGTGTATGTTGTATCAGTGTGTTCCCGTTTGAAGTTGCCGGGCCACCATGTGGTTGACCCGCCGGTTTGAGGCATGGGTGGTCAACTGTGTCTGTTGTATCGGTGTGTTCCCGTTTGAAGTTGCCGGGCCACCATGTGGTTGACCCGCCGGTTTGAGGCATGGGTGGTCAACCGTGTATGTGTATCATTGAAGTTGCAATACGTACATTGCTGTGACTCGCCCGATTGCTGTTGCCGGGCACCTACGCATTTATTTGCCTACTTGTGAAGAGATATCTCTTCTGGTTTATTGCATAATTCTTGGCTCAATGTTATCCATGATGTCGCTCGATGCAAAATCTCGTAAATATTTATCAGACAAAATTGAAAGAAAAAAAAACTATGGCAAACCCCACTTCCTTGTATTCTATTTGCTTGGTGTACATGTGTCCACGTTTTGTACGTTTGGCACGCAGATGCGTGTGTGTGTACGTGAGAGCGTGTCTGGATAAATGTGCATATTGATGTTTTGTTTGTTTTAAGTTTTATTGTGTGTATGCGTGCATGCATGTGGGTTAATTTGCATTTGTTAGGGTAGGACCCTGGATTGGCAACCTATATTGGCTGACCGTACCAGCGTAAAGTACCCTCCGGCGCCGCTGAACATAATTGTACACTATGGAATGATCACTCAACTCCTGTTCTTCCCACCAAATCAAATCGGGTTCTAAGGTAACTTGAGCGCTAGTGCAGGTCACTATTAGAGCTGGAGTTTGAATAGCAAACACTTCCTCACCAAGCGTAAGTGTCTTGTTGCCAGAGTTGATGTCCTGTCCACCGATTCCGACCGTAGAGAACTTGAGCTCCCTGCAGAGGTCTACAACGTAGTTGCAGTTCTCGATCTTCTTCATCTGTCCGCCCAACTTGTACGGTGGCTTGTTGACCTTGTTCCAGTCTACGATACCTGGCTTGATCTTATTCATGAGCTGGAATGATAAAAAAGGAAAACATCAACATGGTTATTCACTGGTTTGAGGGAAAGACACAAACGGGAAAAGTCTGGAGAAAAAATTGACTGTCACCACCAGGACTCGAACCAGGGACCCTAACTTGTAGCTAGTGCAGCTCTAACCACTGAGCTATGGTGTAGTCGTCATCCCAGCAGAGACCGTTCAATGTTCTCTTCAGACTTCGTAACTCACACTTCCTGTGAATCCACACAGGCGGGTGGGACGCAGCCCTCACTGTAACCCACACACTTCACGTACAAACTAGCACGCGTCCACATGGTTACGAAGAATTCCACGAACACTAAAACTGCGCAGGTGTATACAAATTCCGTTTGGCCTGCTTTGACATGCGTCAGGCGCGCTGCACCAGATAAACCAAAAAAATGCTAGCAGCTCAGAGCAGTGGCGGGGGGTTAACTTAAGTTTCCCTTTCTGATTATCAGTTGTCCATGCCGTGAAATTGTGCGTTGCAATACGACTATGCTGTCACACCTGAATATGTCAATGGCAGGGTACTAAGTAAGCAAGAGAAACAAGCACTATAATCCGAAGAATGGCAAATCATACATCTAAGTATGAATAGTGCTAAAGGTGTAAGCCAACTACCGGTTGTCACCCGCTAAAATTATCCGTTCTACAGTACTCCATAGCTCAATGGTTAGAGCATCACTGGCCACAAGCGAAGGTCCCTGGTTCGAGTCCTGGTGGTGCTGACAGTCAATTTTTTATTCAGATTTTCCCGTTTGCATCTTCCTTTCTTTTTGCAGGGTCTGAGCGAGCTCTTCATGTACAAGGCAAGATACCGGTACGTACCTCAAGCAACACATGTCCATCGCTGAGGTCCGAGTACAAGTTGTTGACGAACGGAGTAACACCCAGGGAGTTCATCCAGTTGCGGAATGCTAATGTTCATCACAAAAGAGAGAACATATGTAGACATTTAGAGACCCAAAGATATAACTGGTATTTCCTCTCAGTAGCAGGGGCAGTATGTCACGACCAAACGTGAAAATTGCAAGTGGTTCTACGGGTATTTCTACATAGTTCACACACACACAAGGTCCAGTGGAATAAGAACCTTTTTCGCACAATTAGCAGGAGACTGTTGCACAGCAGAATGTACAGTGGACCATATTCCACAGAGAGAGTCATATCCCGTGACAACTTAGTGGGAACGTGGTACATGAATGGTCAGTGCACGAATCATCCTGTGTGCATAACAACTATCAGTGATTCATGTAGGCAGGCGCCAACCACACCTTGAAGTGGAAGAGAACCACGGAGTAGTACAGAGGGAAATAAATACTCAAGGCGAACGGTGGAGGTGCGGGGAATGAACCCTTGTTTTTAGAATTTCTTGCTGCAGAAACTTTTCCATGGTGAGACACATATTCCCAAATCCTGTCACAAGCAGAGTGATGTAATAGCTGCAGATTCTGGCTACACTTAATTAACAGCAATGGTGACCATCGTACACTTTGCGTACAGCTGCTCCTGTGTTGCCTAGGACGTAGTTCCCACAGTTTTCATGAGTTCAAGTACACCTATCCACTTTAAAAGCCCTCACTCTTCTCTTCCCGAGTCTCATCGAAGTCGCCCAGGTCAAAGTCGGGGAGGCCTTCTTCGCTTGGCTCCAGTGCCGGATACATATTGAAGAGATTGGCAACAAAGGCCAAGTTGAGCTTGGCGTTGCCTTTCGTTACATCCTGTTCAACAACAATTCAGAGGCAAATTTCAGTATCAGCGTTGCCCAAATTACACTGCTGTATGTGGCTACACTGGTCTGGTTTGCTGCCCTATCCTCTGGAAATATAACAACTCTTGCTGTAGTAGAGAAGGCCACACAACCACAGAGACTGAATATTGAATACACCTACACTGCTCCAGAGAGGATTATGATTTATTTACTTCAATGGATTCTGCAAATAAAGATAGGACTCCAAAACCAATGGTACACTTATTGGGGCAGTTTCATTATACGACCGAAGCGAAAGTAGAACAGACTTACAGCTGGTCGTACGAACGCCCGGCAGCCAATCTTGTCGGCTTGCTGCAGCATCCTGTCTGCACGCTTGTTCAGGTCGCTTTCCTACAAACATACAAAACAATATCGTGCCAATGGAATGCACCAGTCACGCCTCAAGTCTCTGTGCAGGTCATGGTACAGCTACTTCTTGCCAAGACCTCTTACGCAATATAAAATTGGGCGAAACTCAAACAAGACACACACTTGCTATCAGGAGCAGAACCGAACCAATCCAAACTAATACTGGGATCACTTGTCCAACTTGATGCCAAAGAAATCAAGGACAAGATTGCCTGTAACAAAAGCAAGACAAGGGGCTGGTGCAATTCCATGTCGACTGTGATGTCTTCATACAATTCACAAAATGCAACAGTACAACCAAGTTCTTCCTGGTCAATACTCGGGCAGAGTTTCTGGTCTGAAAACACAAACAAGCCACTCATCAGACGGCAATATAATGTACTAAGCAATGTGAAAGGTGAAATTATATTCACGTTTCATTTACGATACGACTGGAATTGTTGCGAAGAAACAGATGCTACAAAAAGCTGACTTTTCTCGTTCGAAAATATTTACCTGAAGAGGAGAGCGGTCCACACCGGAATCGGCTGGTGCAATCTGGGACAGCAGGATGGTGTAGCACTCGGAATCCTTTGAATGTACAGGAAACACACACACACACACACACATACACACACAAACACACACACACACATACACACACACACAATGGGGCCATGTTTCAGTGGCGCATTAATGAACGTCCACCCATGAATTATAGGAGACAGCTTGGGCAAAGTTGAAAATTTGGCCATTTCCGGTAATGTTCTGTCGTTGCCGACATTGACAACATACTGGGACATGCATATCCACATTATAAGCTAGTGGAGAACATGACACAACTGGGTTTGTACCAGAATGAGTGCTGGCTTTAATCGACCTAGCATGTACGTCGGAGGCCAGGTGTAATATTGTGCTATCCTCCACACATGAACAGTTCTTATACACATACAACGGAGGCGAAAGGCTGTGCAGCTGCAACTTGAAGTTTCACACAGCGATCATCAGACAGCAGCATATACTCATTCCCTACACATGTATGCCACACTATGATCGCACTGGAGCCCAACAATAAATGATTTGTATTAAAATACATCCACACTAATATATCTATACAGTCATGCTCCGCACACCCTGCAATGTTTACATGTTCCTAGCCGCCCAGTACTGTACATATCAGGCCTTGCATTGCCACTTCATGCTTTCCCTGCAGTTTTCTAAAAACAATGGCCGGTCATTTTGCTGCGAGGACTGCGTGAGTAGTTGTTGATGGGCTCCCACGCAGTTGTTGTCGTAGGAACACTACACATACTGTCAGAGGTGGGATTCGAACCAAAGCCCTCAAACTTGGATCAAAACGTAATACTGAGACGTGAAAAGAAAATTCCCGGTATCTATTGATAGCCCATACCTTGATGTCACCGCTGAAGTTGCGCACTCGGCGGCCATGGCCAGCCTTTTCGAGGTGATAGTTGAACCATCTGAGCAGGATTTCTTCCGGTGACAGTTTGAGGAAGTCGGCCAGTGACTCTCCGTCGTTCAAGAGGACAGCCAGGTTCGGGTTGTTCTTCAGGGAGATCTTGGCGAGCAGACCAATCTGTGTAGTGCAAAGAATACGTGTAGATGCAGACCATACATCACATGTTGGTTCAATGTTGCCTGTACGTACACTGGTCTTGGGCTCAGCAATGCAGTAGAACTCCGATAAGGCGTACTACCTCCATGGCGAGCAGGACAGTGCATCTAGTATGCAAGGTAATTCCTATCCAACCATACTAGTATATCAGTAGAGATCACTGCACCCATGCTCCGTACAATGTACATACTACGCAAGATGATGTCTTATCTGAGTATGTACATGTAATAAAGCCGACAACGGGACAATTTCCCAATGTACCAAAGTCCCAACGAAAGTAATTTCAACTACGAGGGCGCACGGTGCCCACTTGGAATCTGTTCAGGAGACCGAAGTCATTACACGAGCATGCTTCTCATACATTCAACAAAGAGTGTGACAGTGAAAAAGGGATGGTGAATAATAGCAACATCTGCAACACATACGCGAATGATCTGCCACATCAAGCCGAGAACCAAGTGAGGCTTTCCAGAGATCAAGTCCTCAGCACCGATGTTGACGACGCTGCAGCCGATAGCGGAGGCCGAGTTGAGAACGAGCGTCTGGTTCTCGTGGATCTTGAAATTGTTTGGCTTCTTCTTGTTGATGGCACGCTCATCGATGGTTCCCTCCACACTGGCGTTGATCAGCTTGCTGTGAGGAACAACACAAATACAGTGGAACTCGCTTAGTACATACACCGATAAGACATTCTCAAGCTTAGTGTGAACATTGTTTGCAGCATTGGTACATTGATCCATGCTGAAGAATGTTCGGATTAGAAGTACTTTGGATACTAGGAACATGTATCAGTTTCCCAAGGGGGTACAATGTACGTCTTCTCAGAGTTCCATTGAACAGTACTGTGAAATCTATCTAAAAAGACTACTCCAGGGACCTTCAACATGTGTTCCCCTGTAGCAGTGGCCGCCTTATCAAGGGGCATTCGACTGGAAATAACATCCATTGGTCCAAGTTGCAGTGCTCCTCTGGGAAAGGTGGTCGTTTTTTTCAGAGTGATCACCTTGACAGCTTGTACTATAAGAGAAGCTGAAACCACATGGATTGATCCAGCAGCAGGAACACTGAGTTTGAGCCATTACGCCTGACGCCAATGACCACGACAACAAACTAGCGGCCTGGTCGTAGTTCGATTCATGGTTAGTTTTGTAACACGGAGTTTCTACCCAGGAACATTTCCATCTTTACTTGAACACGACTTCCCCACACTTACCACAAGAGGATACCATCAGATCCGGCATCAAACAGATCACCCGGGCCGATTGGCAGCTTAGACTGCACATCGGCATCATCCTTCAGCACATAGTTGATCCAGTCACTGAACGACACAGTCTCATCCTCGTCGAACGAATGGGTGGTTCCAGCAGACGAGGCAGCAGACATGCCTGGTTGACACATCCAAAAAAGAAAAAAAGAAAATGGAATCGAACCCGCTCTTCCCAACATGGTCGCTGCTTTGGAACGACATTGTTGAACTCAATTTTGGTTCATATTCACCCACAAACACCTTCTCTTGTCATGCATATTTGGTAATGAGAAAAATAAATAGTCAATGGACAGCTAATAGGCACAGAAACCAGGCCATATACGTGATTAGATTCGAGCTTTCAACAAAAAACATCGAAGCATTGAATTGATTGCAAAGCTTTTTGGCAAGCCTCTTCATAAGAGTAATGCAATGCTTCCTATCACAGTTGCGGTTGGAATCTCAAAGATAATAATGACGACAGTCAGACCTTAGGCCACTTCTCATAAAGTCTGGGTCGCGTTTTTGTCCAACGTAGAGGGGGGCGGATCCGAAACCCACTTCTTTCCAACTAAATCTTTCAGAACCGAATTAGGTCACTGGAGTTGAATGCACTGAACCGTTCGTAGCTTTTGTATGATTTAGAAAGTTCGTACAGAGACGTACATCTCTAGCCCACATACCAGCAAAAGGCTGATGAAATACAAGGAAAAAAAACAAAACAAGGTAACTTACCCTCCACCTTGACGAGCTTCTTCGTCTTCTCACTTGCTTCGGCAAGGCCAAACTTCGTCTTCTTGGAGCGCACCTGCTCCATCATCTAATGCACCAAATCAGTGAAGCACAAAGATGCAAGAAACAATCTTAGGCATTGCTGTTCACCCACATGGCCAGGCTGCCAGGCCTACTTCATCCGAACACCACTGCCACATCACGGATGCATGCGATCATCGGTCATTTCAAATTGGTGTAACATCAGAGGTACGGACTGCAGAGTGTAATGATAAAATGACATTGCGGGGAATTGTCAAGAAAAATGCACAGCAACATAAAGGCGTCGGTGAATGTAAAGGGTTTACAACATCCTGCTCTTTAGCGCAGTGAACTATCTCCGTATAGCTGGCATCATAGTTGTGAAATCAAACAGCCCTGATATGATCAACTTCCTATTAGTGACGGGTTATTCACAACACTCCCACCCCCACTGTTTCAAAGTCCATCCCTTAAAATTGTTGCATACCAACTGAACCTCCAAAGATGGCAACACATGTTACAAACACGTGCATAAGCCATTGCTATTATTAGTCAGTATCACAAAGGCTTAAATTGATGAATTACATAACGTGACAGGTAATGTCCAGCCTGGATTCCCATGACTCCAAGCTGCCAAAGGCACACTCCCCAAACACACATACACACGTGCCGTGCACAAAGGAAACACACATACACCTGTGTACAGAACTGGCAGAAACTTTAGTCGGTCAATAATTTCATCCAACCATGGTCAATAATTTCATCCAACCCTAAACGCTAAAGACAAGGTCCGGCTGGAAAAGACGGAATAAAATTCCAGACAAATATTTCTGCTTATACAATCCTATCATGATTGTGTGCAGAATGAAACTGTACTAAGATGGCCTGATGCATGCAATCAATGCATTCAATACATGTATATCCATATCAATAATCCACTTGTCACCTTTTGTAGGCATCTTGTGTGTGTGTTGAGCCACATCAAGTTCTCCTATGCTGTGTGACACAGGCACACTGTTCATAAGGTGGAATAGGCCTGATGCCAACAAATAATTGCCCAAACCAACACCATAAAGCCTAGACAGCAGAAGGTGACCATCTTTGGAAATCCGGACACAACAGTACTAGGTGAATGTGCACATCTCAATAAAGGGATAAAGCTCTATTGAAATATTTGATGTAAATGATGCAGTTCATGGGTCTATTACTAATAATGTCTGCAAATAAGCAAAGCATGTAAAAGTTGAGAGTGTTTCACTGTTATGCGCAGGTCTTGTGTGCACCTGTTCAGCATGTAACTTTAGGAAGCATTTCGACTGAACTAGATAGACACACAAGGCCACATGTGCACACCAGAGCTCAACCAGAGCATAACATAATGCCACTAGCTGGACAAAACAGATGAGAGTTTCATTCACCTGAGGAAGTCAAACTGAACAAAATATGCATGCACTGGCAGGAAGCTAGTGGCAGTGTTGGTCCATGCTCATTGCTAAGCAGATAGCTACTTGTAGCCATAACGTCTGATACGTTTTGTACAATCATGTACCAAATGTTGACCAGCACACCACAGTTTTACCACACATCGCAGATAGTAGTGCCTGAAACTACCAGTACTTGGCTGCAGCGAAACGCGTCTGTTGCTGCAACACTGCCAAACATGGCAGTGAAGGCGTCAATGCCGGCTCAAATCGAACATGCTGCGCCTCATCGACCACCTCACACTCTTGCCTACATGTAGTGGCAGAGAGGAGCAAGGAGTCGTAGCAGCTGGAACACAATGCGCTGCACTGCTACTACAACTACAAGTACAAGTACATCCAACTCACGAACTCAACACAGCCGGTTCGTCCGTAACAATCCGGACGTGAACCATTCTCGCAAAAGTAGCTAAAATCGACATTGAGCATTGCAATGCATCTGTCTCGTGATATCTGGATACATGTTGGTTCTTTGAGTGGCAGCGGAACAACTTGCTGGGGAAGTCATAAACGAAGCGGACCCGAGTATCGTCCGTCGATTACCGGCCCATAGATAAGTATCCTCGTGAATCGCTCCACAAGTGCTCAACAATAATCTAGAGCCTCAAGTCAAAACTCCAAACAAAAGGTCGGGAGCTACGCCCCATGGACCACTGACCTTGACATTTTATCCATCTCACCCGATCCACAAGGAACGATTGCGAAAATTAATGGAATAAATGCTAAAGGTCTCCCGACCCCCACCAACTGAGCTGAGGGCGAACGCCAGTTGGGTCGGAGCTCTCAACTAGGAATCGACACACAGTTTTGTACACCAGTATCATATACACCAGTATCAGGTTTACCGTGGTCGGGGATGAACTAGGGTTGTTACTTACGACGGTGACCCGGTATCCGGTGTGTTACGATGAACATCATAAACAAAAGGCCACACAGCTAACTTAGTTTTAGTGGTCTTGCCCCTGTGGGGAACACTTTTTTCTACTTCCCGGCCATAGGTATTCGTAACGCTGGGCACTATGAAGGCAAACGACGGCATGTACCAACTGACACACGACATACTTTCTGCCATTCCGCTTTCGCCCCAGTAATTTGGCAGACACATCACAAATTGACCGTGCACAGCCAAACAACCTTCCACCATGAGGCCTGGACAGTGAACCGGTATTGCAAATAAATATTCTAATGGAGAAAACAGGAACAACTGCCAGCGATGCTACATAAAAACCACGTCAGCGTCTCACCGTCAAGAATTCGCCCCATTCCACTGTGCCGTTCTTATCTTTGTCGACCTCAGCTATAAGTTCACGGACCTTGTATCCAGGTACTGACTCGCCCAACGCCTTGAAGACATCGGTGAGCTCAGTGCAGGTAATATGGCCATTGCGATCGATATCGAACTACAACAGTACAGCGTAAAAACACACAAGCAAACGAACGCATGCAAACACTAGAACCCTCTGGCTCGATTGCAGCATAATCACCAGCGGCGGGACAGGATCTCGGCACTCACTGTGTCAAACTGCGACCTGAATTCGGCAAGTTCCTCTTCTGTGAAACTCATGGCTAATGTGGAGAGAGATATTGAACTGAGCAAGAAACTGAAAAAAAGACGACACCGGTCCACTGAAGACTTAGCGACGCTGACAACGAGCCCAGTTCTGGCAAGATGGTTTTGATGCAACTAAACACTCGACTCGAGTAGATCTACTCCGGCAACGCTGGTAACACTGCGCTGCTGGAGACCGGGTGCATGCTGGCTTTGCTGACTTCGGTGCTTTGGACAGTTTTTGCGAGAGCGTAGCTACGTAGATACGAGTTTGTAGCAGTCGTCGATCAGCACTGTAGAATCTACAGTGTACAGACTGTCAGTGTGCAGTACTAGCATTGCATGCAGTACAGTCAGTAGATCTACCCTGATCTACTGCACTGCGTCTGCACTGACTGCAGCTTGGAGTTGGAAGCTGGGCGTCGATGATTGATGTTGACAGCTGTATCCAACAGGATTTACCGTGTGTGGTCATCAGTGCGACAGTGGTCATGGATGGAGTGTGTGAGTTTGTGTGTAGGCTGTGCGGACATCCTGCCAGTGTACTGACTGTATAAAACTAAAAGGTGGACTGTATCAGTGCATGGCTACTGCCAGTAGACCTGCAACTGACAAGTACATTTTCTTCAGACGAGAAAATAGTCATGATCGATATCGCGATGGTCACTGGCTGTACGAGCGATGCACGTGGGGGGTAGAGCCGAGCCGGTAGCCTAGACAGACTCAGTTGGAAGTCGGAACGATTTGACAGCAAAATGTTCTAGACCCTTGCCTTACCATGCTAACCGATCGTTCCGACTCGAAATGCGTGGAAGGAAGCTGGTATGTTGAAGGTTGTTCCGAGGCCAGAGTCGATGAAACTGAGCTCTGCACAACATTACTTGACCCCTATGTTACTCTATGTATCCAGGGACTGTACAGTTTCCAGCTTAGCTAATCAATGGCCAACACAGGAACAGACGTTTCGTGCTGACGAGAGAATCAAACAAGTCACATAACAATGTGTGACGTTTGGTTGCCAATGACAATATGATTGTGTGTGTGCGTGTGTTTGTGCGGGCGTGCGTGCATATGTGCGCGTGTACATTCGCACGTGTGTATGGAACTAATTCTATAATACGAGTAATTATTCTGTTTTTAAAAAGGTACACAAGAATTAGTGTATGGACAGTCAGCACAAAGCAATGCTACAGGTTGTCAATCGAATATGCCCTCATGCCATCTCGGACTCCTTATAAAGTAGGTCGGCCAAGCACTGACTGTAAATGCTGCGTTGTTCACAATGATTATGTCCATGGCAGTGATTGATCTGGACAAGAGTATTGGCCATGCATGAAGATGTATCACAGGCTGCATGCGTAATGACACGGACTGCACTGCGATGTCATCCATACATATTGGGTGCACTGTGATGTCACCATACATATTGGGGAGTCGTAAAAAAAATGCTTGTAATAACTCTACCGTGACACACCGGCAATAATGCATGCTGCTGGAAAACGGGTGTGCGGCACCGTGCATCGAAAAGAAGTGCAAGCAGCCTCTGTGCCATACAGGTCCACAAATTGTTTATAACTGTGCACATAGGGTGGTACCTACAGGCTATGGCATGGGGAGAGGACTTTGCTGATCAGGGGAAATTGCGAATATCATGGCTAATAAAGAAATCTGGTTGAGAATGAAAGTATTAGGTTTATAAAATTGACAATAATTATAGTATTGGGGATGTACTAGCAAAATATACGAGGTAAAGATATTGAAAATAGAGGTTCATGAAGGTGCCAGCAACCAAGTCAAACGCGTCAAAATGCGTCAGAAAACAAAATTAATGTCTCAGCAATCTGTTTCAGATGTCACTGAACTCACGATGGGCAAGAAAAGGACACTTCGGCATTGCGAGCATTATGAGAATGGACAAGTTAAAAGCCCTGGTGTAGTTGCTTACAAAAATAATGCTCAAATTCGAAAACTAAAATCTGGATCAAATAGCATTGTGCGCCTGGCTGTGCAAGGCCAATGCTCTGGCACATATCTGATGCGTCTTACGCTTCCTCATCCTCATCCTCATCCTCCTGCAGGTTCTTCAGTGGCGTGAAGTCGCCACGTTTTCTCGCGTAGCGTCTCCGGTAGAAGAGGTAGACGAGGACAGTCAGGCCAACGGCCAGCACTGAGCCCATGATGCCGCCTACAATCACGCCCGTCTTCGACTTCTTCTTCTTGAGGGGACCGGTTGTTGGCGCAAAGGCCGTTGTTCCAACCACATCTACAGGACAGATGTAAAGCCGTATACGTGGAATTTTCAATGCCTTGGGTCAAAGTGAACAACAGCATTTAGGTTGAAAACTAATCACGTCCAAATGCCATCCACACCGCCTGTAGGGGGTTCATGCAATGAACAATCAGTGGGAGGCAGGGGAGAGGAGGGGGAAGGGGGGAGGGGCTGTCTCCAAACTGAACTGAAGAGTATCACAGCATGCACTGGGATGCAAAGTACAATATCCATCTCTAGTATGCATGTCATTTGACCGCGATATACAGAACCTCAGCTGTGAACGTAGAGCCCATTATGTACATTGCATGCGTGTACAAGTAGTATTGAATTATCACAGTGCACAGCAGAACCCCTCCCGTAGGAGGGTTGCACCTTCCCCAGTAAGGCGCATCAACAGAGTGGAAGTGTACAGGCCCCTGATTCGGTCGGAACCCTGGCTTCAGTCCAAGGATACTTTCAGTGGTAATGATCACCATGATTATGTCATCGCTGTGGTATTGATCACCATGATTATGTCATCGCTGTGGTAATGATGACCATGATTATGTCATCGCTGTGGTATTGATCACCATGATTATGTCATCGCTGTTCTAATGAGTATAATAACGGCAGCGAATTCTGTAACATGAGCACTTCTCGAGTCGACGATTTTGGCAAATTGGCAAAGCCGACACTTTGGTGCGGTTCCAAAATCGGTTAGAGACCAGAGAGGAATCATACCTGAGAACTTGGCCTTATAGCTGTACTCATGAGAGAAACCCACTGTATGGAAAACAAAACACAAACAAAAACAGAACCAAACAAAGTTATTGGACAACTAATCACCAAAGCAAATTGACTGTCACACTGGACAACATATTATTGCTGTGGCGGTCAGGCCCACGCGCCATGGTGAATCAAGTACACTCAACGTTACGTACTATTGCACAGCATCCCTAGTCCACCGGTCCTGGTGGTTCTGCATGGGACGAATGCGGTACATGCACTACAAGCACTAGCGGGGTATCACTGAAAGGTGCACAGCTAGGATTTCATACTGTAAGTCAACAAATTGTCGGCGCATATTTATTTTCGGCTATTTTTGGCCTGATCATTATTTTGGCCCAAAAATTTGTTAATACTCATAAAAAGGACACACTTCAGGCTCATTACAAACATCTTGAAAGTTTTCGTCTTCACAAGTATACTTTCAAGCCTTCTCATCAGGTGAAATACAGGCAAGGGAAAAGGAACAGGAACAGTGTTCCTGTTCCTTTTCCCTTGCCTGTATTTCACCTGATGAGAAGGCTTGAAAGTATACTTGTGAAGACGAAAACTTTCAAGATGTTTGTAATGAGCCTGAAGTGTGTCCTTTTTATGAGTATTATCGCATTTTTGTCTCAGAGGAAACTGTTTACCAAAAATTTGTTGCGGCCGAAATTTTGTTTTGCAAGGTTCAGTGTGACAGTGTATACAGACAGCAGCAGTACAGGCCGAAAGTTTGTTGCAGCAGAAATGTGTTTTAGCACTGGGAGGCCAAAATTTGAATGGGCCGAGCATTTGTACACTTACAGCATAGTATAGTGATCATTTGTATTCACACACACACAGTATAACCTAGCAAGGCAAGCAATCAGATAAGGTGACCACTGCCACCAGCACAAAGGGATGCTATGTCCAGTGAAACGACCCTGGATAAGCAGACCACCTGGTATCAAGGCTATGTTGTGATGGTCCTTTGAGCGGTCGTCTTAGACCGGTTTCACTGTACATGAGAATAGACCAGCCCGGAGCTGATTCGCACTGATCAACTGAGGTTTGTTTGTTGGAAACAAGGAAAATATGCTGGGTGTTGTTCTGAGCAGGGGCGAACCAGCATGTCCGCGGCAGGTCGGACTTTGCCCGGACAGATGTCCAGCGAGCCAAACATGCTAAACTTGCTGGGACTGCTGCAAACTCCTGTAAGGGCATGTTTGTGCATTGTTCAGACCAGGCACTTGTTATAGTTGGTCAGATCTGTGCGGTAGAGAGTGCAGTGGGCAGACTACACTGAGTGGCGGCAAAGCACTACCACAGACTAGCGGTGGTTGCGTTATACCTTGGCCTAAGCAGAATTAGCTGGATTTACCGGGTGTTAGCGGCCGCCGTGAGTTGCCTCGGGAACGGACACGATAATTTTTAAAGCAGAAAATATCATTTAGAGCGAACGCTGGCCTAACTGCAACTCGACTGCAATGGACCACAGTGCAGTTTGTCAGAGACACCCAGTCCAAGTAGTTTTTCAACGATTTATCACACTCTGGTGGAAGTCAAGTACCTGATACAACTGGGCTCTGGGCAATCAGCCTACCAACCAGCCGGCAGTGGACGTTGCGCACATCTCACACGTTTACGCAATGGCAAGCAAGGCCAAAGCTGGAAGACATTCAGAGTTTTCTCCGCCAACACAATCGTCGGGCAGTGAAGTCTGTACATTCCATGTACCCTGGCTGTATTGTAATCATGTCAAATCCTATCTACCATGTCTATATTACAATGATACAAACACCAACAAGTGTTTAAGTGCTGTAGTGTGAACAAGACCTGTCTTTTTTTAATTATCGAAGAAAAAAAGGTACAGCTTTTCGGACTTACAAGCGTCACAGGAAAGCAGTGAGTCGGCCTCTCCGCAGGACAGTTGCTTCGTTGCTTGCTTCGCCATGTAGCATACTACACTGGCTTCCGACTGGGCGTACGCCTGGATGTCGCCCTCGTTGGTGCACAAGCCAGGAAGGCAGAAGTCCCGTGTTTTCGTGTTGCCAATGTCCGTTGTACAGTTGGCTGCACAGTAGGAGGAATTCGCGCCAGTGAAGCCAATGCAGTCGCCCTCTCCCCTGGTCAGTTTCTGGTTAGCACAGAGCACAACACAGGCAACATTTGGCTCCTTGCAAGAACTGTGTGGCTGGTTTTGGTGGTAACTGTAACTGCACACTAAATTATATCATGGAATTGACTACACCGGTGCATCAGTACACAGGCCAGTCTTCGTAGATCTGGGGCTGCACTGTGCCTGTAAACATCCGATTCGCGATATCCGTATTGCATCAGCAACATTATACACGTAGCTAGGACAGTGACCGCACACACAGTCATGACTGCAGCAAAAGTCATAGGAATTTCGGGATAGGCTGGAGCCAGGTGCATTTCACATCGAGACTTCACTCCCCTCCAGTATGTGCACTGTATCTTGTTATGCTCAGCCCAGCTACATACGCCTCATCATACGATAGCTAGGTATGACGGCGCTGGCGGTAAGAATTCTATGCCATGCAACATGGGCTTAGCTAAGGGAATATAACCTCTGAACTGCAATGGCCAGAAACACAGTGGGTACCTGTAAGGAATTCAAATCAATTTTTTCCTCTGGAGCATGGGGCTGTTTTGCATGCCCCACGTGAGACGAACGAAATAACAGCAATACACATACAATAAGACCTGTGACTAACGACCACCCTTTGGGACCAGAGAAAGCGGTCTTTAGTGGCAGGTGGTCCTTAGTTAGAGGTTTGCACCGCACGACCCTATAATGAATGTGAGACCGTCCGTGCCTGGCGAAGTGGTCTGTAGTACCAGGCTGGTCGCTAGTCACGGTGGTCTTTAGTTACAGGTTTTACTGTATATTCAATTTCTCTCCATTGTGCTATTAGTATTACGGGAACATCTGCATGGGTTCCATAACTGGGCCAAGTGTGGAGCAAAGCTGATATTATGACGCAATCTCAGACTTACTGCAGTACAGCCGTACAGGCTTGGGCAGTTGTTGAGTGGATCAGGGCTGCTGTGATAGTTCTTGCCCTGGTTATAACAGTCCAGGAGTGCGGCACGGCACGGTCGGAAGTCGTGGCCCAAGGCTTGCGTGCAGCCAGTGGATAATTCGGCGAAGCGCATAGCCAGGATATCAGAAACGCTGCAGCCAGAGAGCAATGGATGATTAGCTTCATCCGACAGTGGCATGGAATCTATCTTGCCTTGGGTTCTGGAGCACTGCTGTGTAAATTTCTATTATTTTAAAAATGCTACCAGAAGCACAGTGCATTCAGAAAATGACGAGCCCTAGGGGCCTATTAAATCCGGTTCTGGGTCAAATCCCCCCCCCCCCCTCCTCAAAGCCGGATTAGCACATACGAGAACACATACTCGTGCAGGGACACATTCAGAAGGCGAGCAGCAGCTTTCAGCTTGTTCAACTTTCACTGTGTTTGATCAGGGAATTCCTGCTGGTGGTATTCATTTCATTATGGGGGTATTGTCAGCTCATCCATGATTACCAAACAAGAGTACATACTTTTTGCGGCAGCATCCAAACTTCACGTCGCCAAGAGCGCAGCACTCGGTCAGTGATGCGTCCTGGCCTGGATGGGGACATTGATCACAGGATGCTGCAGAACAGACATAGCCAAGCACACAGTGCAGGGAAGCCTATCAGTTACATACATCCTGGTGATCAGATATATGTCTACTCGCGATAAAGTCACGCAATTTAAGTCACGCACTCGTGATAAGTCGGGCACTTTTAAGTCACGCACTCATGATAAGTCGCGCACTTTGGCAGTTTGGACGGCATATGCTTTTGTAGACGTATACGAAAGTGTAAGTCACGCATTTGCGATAAGTCACGCATTTTGTCTACAAGATCGGGTGCGCGACTTATCGCAAGTAGACTGTACACCAACTGTCCTCTACCAAGCGGTACCATAATTATAGAAGTCAATGCAGTTTGATCAAGTCTTTCCCTGAATCGTGTCTGCCAGGTAAGGCTCTATAATAGCGTATGCACGCTAGCGTCGTAATCAGATATTGTTCTGGAGGTACAATTTCAACACATAGCTGTGCATCGCCTATCCCATTTCCACCTGACCTAAACGTCTGCTTCCATATCCTGCCTTCTGTTCTTAGTCTTCACTCGCATACTGATATTGGAAAATGCAAAATCCGTTAGCAGTACAGATAATCACAAGTAAATGGTCTTAATGATGCATCACGCATTCTGGTATATTTTGCCCAGTACAGCACCAGATTAAACATGCATTAGTTTCCACAGACATGATGATGTTTTATTGTGTTAACTTCAAAATCAAATGTTCACGTACTGTCTGGTGCAGCGGATCCATAGAGCCTCTTGGTGGCTGAGCAGAAACAAAATGCACGGAACAGAACACATCCGTGACTTCAGAAATGTGCACGTTCAGGGGTGAAGTACACAACGAAGCGCACACCAGAACACAAGCAAGTTCCTGCCTAGTTGCAGCTGGATTCAAGCTGGTAAGTTGATTTTGTGTTATAATGTATATTTTACTTGGGCATCACCACCTTGAGCACCCTGTAAGAAGATATAAGGGTCTGTTGAACGCACCCTAAGGTCTCCTTACAGGGTGCTCAAGACGGTGCATGTATGTGTTGAGCAGTTCCTGTCCGTGTATTGTCAGAAAGAACGTGTATGTGTGTATGTGTGTGTGTGTGTGTGTGTGTGTGTGTGTGTGTATGTGTGTGTGTGTGTGTGTACGTGTGTGTGTGTGTGTGTGTGTGTGTGTGTGTGTGTGTGTGTGTGTGTGTGTGTGTGTGTGTGTGTGTGTGTGTGTGTGTGTGTGTGTGTGTGTGTGTGTGTGTGTGTGTGTGTGTGTTGACTCCCTATTTTCCCAAAAAAATTGGAAAAAAATGAAAAATGAAAAATAGGGAGTCACTGGCCAGAAAAGCCACTTCAATTAGCTGTGTGGTGGATACCAGGCTAAAATTAGTGGCAGTCAGTTCATCAGCCTTACAAGCTGTTGAACGGTGTAATCCCAGCACAAGTTGCTATGTCTAACATAGCTGTTCGCTATCATCACTTCAGCGATGGGCATGTCTGAGTCTGAGTCTGAGTGTGTGTGTTGATATGGCTAGCAACTCACCGTTAGGGTATTCACAGGTGAGGTCGACTTTGTAGACCTGACAGGTGGGAAACACGTCCAGTGCCTTGCAGCGCAGCATTCGCGTAGCATTGGCAAACGCCTGCAGATCTCCAGTACACTGCGGCGGTAAGCAGAACGGTATCGGGTCGTTCGACGACGCGTCGATATTGTCGCTGTGGTCCACGCACGCCAACGACGACGGTGGTCCGTACGCCTCGCAGAACTGGTGAAGCTTCTTGCCTGGCATATCCGGCCTCGGTGGCGGTGCTCCATTGTTGCAACCGTACATGTAGAAGTTATACAGGAAGTCGAGGCACTCCGGGGAGGACTCGGCGCGGTTCAGGCAATCAATCACTTGAGTCATGCAAGGCGCAAAGGATTCCAGCAGCGCATTCTTGCAATCACCTGACAGCCCGGCGAAGCGTACATCTACAAACTCTTGAGTTCTGAGCAATGGAATGCGACAGAAAGGCAAAGAACCGGGCATAAGACCCTACAAGCAAGGATGCCAGCAACCAATCTCCTAGAATCAGCAAGCACTGATGTTTTCAATTGACACAAACCATAAACAGATTCCCAAATTTTTGGCCCACAACGTGTACCTCACATGTATCTGTGTACACATTTAAAAACAATATCGTAACAAAATAATAGACTACAGTGCTGCTCACTAAAATCCAGTCGCGTCACTCAACTAGACCGTCTAACACTGGGCTGTGAAATGGTGCAAGGTGCAGGCTGGAGTGACGCGACTGGATTTCATTGAGCAGCACTGTAGTAAACGCACTAGAGTAGAATCTTGCATGGTTAGTGAAAGTTCTCAGAATAGGCGCACTGTGCACATACCTCCGTGTGCCGCACATGGGCCCCGAGTCCGTTCCCACGGATATGCAGACTGGCGTGCTGCCACTGCAGGTCTTCTGCTTCACGGAGCACGGCTGGGTGGGAACTGCAAACACCAGAGCACAACATACGCAGGAATATCGTGGACATGGGACAGATTTCCCATCTTGGCTTCCTTTCGAGTCTCTAGGGTGCAGGGAATAGCTATGAACATTTCTGTTGAACTACAAAAAGCCCATTGTTTTACTATGTCGATAAACATCCCCGAAAAATTGGTGAAATATATTGAAATATTTTTCCGCAGTCAACACACCAGAGGAATACATTTTCATTTGGCGAGGCTAATGTTCAGGAACTTTTTATCATAATTTTGGTTAAACTGGTCATTTCGCATTAATTCCCACATCATTAAACTGGATTTTATGTTGTGCGCATTCAACAAAGCCATCCTCGCAATTGAATGCTCGGCCAAGGGAAAGGCGCTAGGTTCAAATATCGAGGATTTTTCATGATTCGAAATAAGCAATGGAGACATTCAGGAGGGTCTGTGCAACAGTAACTATCCCTCTGTTTACACTCCTCTTGCATTCAGTTCGAAGGATGTCGCCTAATGCGGTTTACAAAAGGGTTTATTGTAAGACTGCTTTGGCTCAACGCGAGCGCATCTTGGGTTCTCTTTAGTTCACAAGCTAAAACTGTAACTCATCATTAGACAACGTAATAAAAACCAATGAAAACAGAAGACGATACGAGGAGACAAGCCCCAAGAAAAAGGGCTAGAAAACCGTATGTCCTACGTGAAGAACATGGGAACGTCGTAGGCGTGCCATGGCGCAAAAGGTAAGTAAAATACTTTAGAAGACACGATGGAAAGAAGAAAGAAGACTGTATAATCAATTGCTTGTATGCTTGTATGTATGCTTGGTGCGAAACATTAGTTTGTGACAATACTCTTATTCATGCAATCTCTAACAAGCATGCAATCTCTAACAAGCATGCAATATCTAACAAGCATGCAATATCTGACAAGCATGCAATATTCCACATGCGGTGTTATGCCACTTACTGGTACATATAGCCTGTGTTCCATTCCAAGTGCCATCCTCAGTGCAGGTGCGGTACAGCGAGCCAACCAGCTTGGTTCCATTGTCACAATTGTACTTCAGTGTTGCCGTCGCAGTGTGTAGGCATGGATCGCCTTCTTGGCCGGGTGTACACTCGGAGCCGTTCACTCCTTCCTGCTGCACGGTTATCTGTCCGTACGGGAATCGGCCACCATCCAGATTTCCGAGAATGTCCGGACAGTTGATGGCTGGAGATTGCGCAACATAGCATCGGGACACAAAATGGGTGGTGAGAATCGTGTTTACGGGTTTGCAGAAAATGTCTGATTTCTTTGGTCTTCCTCCGTCACACATTCTGAAGCCTTTCTCCACCCAACCAGCGATCGAGACCCACCGTATCCCTCCCCTCCCCCCCCCCCCGAAATGGGTTCCATACTATCAGATTCCGAGACCTGACGTAGATACAGCAATGGCAGGTTACTATGAATACCAGGTTACTATGGTAACAGTTATCTGGTATGCCAGTCTGTTCAAAAGCAGGAATCTGCTTTAGATGCTGCTAGCCTGATGTTCAAGATAGACCATGGACATATAAGCTTGGAGCTTCACAAAGGCGGTGTGCCTGAACCTGCTAGAGTGCTTAACTTCAATGTTGTCTGATGGTTGGTTGTCAAGCCATAAAACTCTGAGCCACAGTGAATAAGTCCTCATTTTCCTTTTGTGTACCTTCTGTATAAGCATGGAGCTTGTCTTGAAATACATAAACACGCCTACTAACTAGCCTTTGTTGAATAGGCACCTGGGCTTTGCATCAGATGAGTTTGTCTGATGATTGGCCAAATAGTCGTGAAACTCCAGAGTGAAAGCATGGTTTAGCCTTGTTATACTGCAAGCTTGTATCAGATGTAGTTTAGCCTTGTTCTATTGAAAAGCCTGTATCAGATGAGTGATGTAGGTTTGCGTGAGCACCCGTTACTCTTTATCATAACCCGTAGTGAGCACTCACGGACACAGTCTGGCGGATATCCTTGCCACCCTCCGAACGGCATGCAGGTGATGTTGACCGAATACGTGGTGTGTGTTCCCTGTGGATTATAGCGGTAGTACTTGTCACAATAGTAGTGCAGTGACACGCCACTGCGGTACGTGTCCATTGCAGGCAGCACGTAACCGTTGTCCGGTATGAACGGTTTGTTGCACATTGTGATGTTCACCACACCTAAGAAGCAGCACACACACACACACATAGGCACACAACATGGATTGGACTAAATACACTAGAGACGTTAATTTTTGACTGGTCGTGCAGCGAAATGTTCTGCAGTAGAATAGTCGATACTCCAGCCATTACTAACATTAAGCAGGCCGTGTTTCGAAAAGACCTAGTAGCAATGCAGCATAGGCGAAGCAATACACACTGAACGGTATGACTACTGAACGGTATGACTACACACTGTAATAACGACTTGTTGAAACCTTCACTTGCAGCATCTGACTGGTCGCAAACACTCTTCTCGGCCATTATCACTCAAAATTTACACAAGAAACAGTTCCTACTAATGAACCCAGTTTCCATTGCAATTTCTGAATTCAACATGCTCAGCAACTGCGTGTCACTTGAAGTACAGTGCTGTTCAATAAAATCCAGTCGCGTCACTCAAGTCGCAAGCCTTGTACCATTTCACAGCCCAGTGTTTGCAGGTCTAGGCCCGGCGCGTACTTGAGAGACGCGACTGGATTTCATGGAGCAGCACTGTGGTATCTTTCACCACTGCTGTCATTCACACCTTTCAAAGTCACGCCGTGATGCAATCTTTCACAACTTCTGTCATTTACACTTTTGCTTTGTGGGTGTATAAACCAGTATCCAGAGTCACTCATTACTGTTTTCTGATGATCACTTAGTGAGTGAAACTCAGAGTTAAAACACTTTTGTCATCCTCTTATCTTTGTTTGTACTGATGGCAGTCGTGAGTCAGTCAAGTGAGAATTCAAGTCGGCAGGAAAAGCGCGAGCTCCCACGTAGGGAGCAAGACACAATTCCCCAAGTATGGTCGAAGTCGCACCAACCTCTTCTTAGCAACTAATCCATGGTTATTGCATTATGCTGGTAGAAATATGCAAAAATATGCAAAACGGATTTGACTGAGGTTTCCCAAGCTTTTCTTCACCTTGGAATGCTAAACATTTGAATACCTGCATTCTGTATCACCATTCACACACACGCACACACACACACACACACACACACACACACACGGACAGCACTACCAAACTTCAATTTCACTGAAGCTGATAGCTCTACGTGTGGGCGTGATGACTTACCGTTATCTGTGACGTTGTGAGCTGCTGAGATATTGTTACCATCAGAAGCTGCACAACCAAACAGGATTGCATATACGGCACATACTTAGCAGCAGTGAAATCACTACACTCACATCAGTGATCGTGCCATGTCTAAAACAGCTAACCTCTTTTGTACAACCTACAAAGTATCAAGTTTACTTATCAGCTGTGGGAGCGCGTGTACACATGAATACAAAGATGAAACACCTTAGGATGACTTATATTCTCAATTCTGACCACATGAGATTGACTGGGTGAGCGAGATTTCCTGTTCCACAGCGTTTTAAACGTCAATGCAATGCACGATCAGAAGTCACTCACTTATCATAGGCAATTGAGCTTCCTGTAACAAAGCCTTGAGTATGCACCTCTAGACTCAATCTTAGCAAATCAGAGTGATTTATCATGAATTATCAATAAATCAGGATGAGCCATCCCAAGTACGAGCTCTCTCTCTCTCCCTCTCTCCCTCCCTCCCTCCCTCCCTCCCTCCCTCCCTCCCTCTCTCTCTCTCTCTCTCTCTCTCTCTCTCTCTCTCTCTCTCTCTCTCTCTCTCTCTCTCTCTCTCTCTCTCGGTGAGCGGGTCTGTACTACATCCTCAAGACTGCCCAATACTGAATCACAAACTGCCCTTTTTTGGTCCCACACAGCTGGCAAGTAGAGCATGCACAATATCTTACCATAACATTGCGTGTTCACTGACACCTGTCCACACGTGGTGTTGCCCGACGCAAACTTGTAGTAGCCACAGTTCAGCAGTGCGTCCTGACTGGCGACCGCCTGCACGTCGGCCTCGTTCATACAGGCCTGGGGCAGGCAGTAGTGACCGGCATGGCAAGTATCCACTCCGCTGCACGTGCTCATACACTCCGTCGTGACATTGTCCAAGTTCATCTGGCATGCATCCATGCCAATCCAGTCCTGCACATGAGGCACATGAACGGGAGAGATTACAGCAATGCTCCCCAGATCCGGGCAGCTTGGGACCGAGCACTGCCCGTAACTTCTCCCCAGAATTCGCATACTTTCTGCAGTCAAGTAAACATTGTTTTCCCAATCAATAGTTTTTGGGGCCGTTTTTCGTTGAAAAGCCATTTTTGTGACTCTAAATGTTTCAGAAAGACAGAGATGTCCGGATTAGAGAGATGTCCGGATTAGAGAGATGTCCGGATTAGAGAGATGTCCGGATTAGAGAGATGCCCGGATTAGAGAGATGTCCGGATTAGAGAGATGCCCGGATTAGAGAGATGCCCGGATTAGAGAGATTCCCGGATTAGAGAGATGCCCGGATTAGAGAGATGTCCGGATTAGAGAGATTCCCGGATTAGAGAGATTCCCGGATTAGAGAGATTCCCGGATTAGAGAGATGCCCGGATTAGAGAGATGTCCGGATTAGAGAGATGTCCGGATTAGAGAGATGTCCGGATCCGGTGAGTTTTACTGTATTGTCACATGGCAAGGACGGGCTGTGCCGATATCCGCTGTTATCCTACAGGTGCAGTGCAGAATTTGGTGGTGCTCGTCAGTGGACACGGAGTGCGAGCTATTCAGGTTTTGTGTCTACTAGTTGTTACAATAGATGCTCAGGAGTAGGATCATTGATGTCCAATGCTTCAGCTCCCAGTGGGTGACACAAAGGTTCAGTTTGAGGAGTGGGTATTTCACTGCATGATTCAGTCCTTCATGTATGGAAAGCTGCTACACTGGCACCAGATCTAGTTTCAATTTTCATCAGGCCCAAAGTAGGACTGAACTCGGATGGTGAGCCAATTCAATTAGGGTAAAAAAGCTGACTGTAGATGATCTGGTTATGTTGGTGGACAGTTAGTCATAATTCGTAACATTTTGTCCTTCTCAGTTTTTACACTAACGAAATAGGATGTAAAATGATTCTTACGTGGCAGTTGTGCCAGTTGGGGCAGGCATGACGCACGCCCTTCAGCTCGACCTGATTCATGCAGCTGACTATCGCCTGGCCGCACATTGACAGCTGCTGGCCGAGTCCCTCCTGGCACGCCTGGCTGGCGTTAACAAAACGATCCTCTACCACCTTGTGGACACTGCGGGAAAACATAAAATTGATATTAGAAAAATAATTTGAAGTTTACCCCCTTCCCTTTCCAATTTTTTAAACCCACAAATAACTCCTGCCAACTGGATTATGAAAGAAAATGTGCGATGCCCACTGCAGCACGCAACATATCACATGGAACAAGGGGTATGGAGTTATCGAAACTATACATTTCCTCTCTGCCTACTATGTGTCAAGTCAAAGGATGTAAATGATTTTACAGTCCTGCTCGAAATCCGATCGTGTGAACCAAGTTAGTACCCTGCACCAGTTCACATCGCAGTGTTCACAAATCCACAGGACCAGGCGTGATATTTTCTCGCTTGATTGGATTTCATTGAGCAGCATTGCAAGCAGCATTGCAGATCCCCGAAATACAGGCAGAAGTGCAAAGTTGCAATGCGGTAGCTAATTCATGTCCTCACCCCTTTGAGCAACAACCGAGCGTGTAGTTCTGCACCTCGCAGCACTCCGTGAGCGTGGGTTGATCTGGCGGTGGGCACTGGGAGCACGAGGCTGGAAAGAACGCAAAGGATACCACATACACGTTGTCACGCTGTGCAAACCATAAAACTATCGCAGTATTTTGGCACCCGGATAACTCATTACAAATCTCACAAAAATGTGAATCTTAGAGCATAGGTGAGCCATGGTAGGAATTGAATATAACAAACCCATCCTCTCTCTCACCTTCCATGTCAATCTGAGCACTGATACCAGCTGTAGGAATGCAAGAAAATGAAACATACGAAAACATGTAGAAGGCATTGGTGAAGAACACATTGTCAGAATGAACGTGGCCAATGTTGGAGATGTGCATCTACATGCAGAAGTTTGCAAAGGCAATGCCATGTGGCATACTCCTTCTAATCAATCCGTTCAGCAAGGCGTGCAAGAATGAGTAATGTGCAGTTTCTCTACTAACTAATCACACGGGATACTTCATACTTCAATACGCCCGTATTGTTTCCTCAGCCAACGCACTACACAGGATATTTCACACGATAAAGTTACGCCTTTATTATCTCCCCAGAACCACATGTATTCAAGCCCAAGCCCATCACATTCCATACTTTGACAATCCAGCTGAACGCTCTGATACTGGCAGTAGAAGGGATCGGCGTTGATAGCGCAGTACATCTCCAGCGATGACTTGGCAATGGCAGCAAGGCTCGTGTCATTCACGCACGAATCTGGAATGCACGCTGTTTGACCGACGACTTGTTCTGAACACCAGCAAAAGGCACAACAAAGAAGGTTTAAATGTGTCTACATCATCAAACTGTTCAAACTGCTGCTCTAGCATTAGCACTGGGGTAGCTGACAGTCTTGCACCACAGTTCAAGAATAATGTTTGCCGATTGGGGCATGACCAAGGAGTATACTGACACAGATTCGTAAATGAAATGCAGCCACCGTAAGACAAACAACAGCAGCTGCAGCAGCGTTCTTTCCTCTTCCTGTATCAATATCATCGATGAAACACATTTAGCAGCAGCAGCAGGAAAAAGCAGCAGCAGAAAAAACAACAACAAGTATGCCCTAAGCGCGTCAAATTTATGGTCTTGGCCAGTAGACGTGACACCAGTTGGTAGAGATGGTGGAATTTCTGCTGCTTTGGAAGAAACAGGTTTTGGATGTGAATGCCATGCAATCAGGTTTTGTACACATGTAAACTAGAGCTTTCAAACCTGTGAGCCCATGTAGAGAGGCAGCTAGGCTACTTCCGGTTTGTCGACCAACGCATAAAGCCTGCCTATAAATTGATGATCCCTACATGCAATGTATTCATGGGTACTACTCTATGAGCCAGAAACCAAGATGCATGTAGTTGGGTGCTCACCTCCTGTGATTAGCGTAACGGTTTCCAGACACGCCACCGAGTTGGCTGGCCCGTACGTGTGACAGAACTTGTTCAACTCGTCAGTGAACTGTGTCGCAGGCGGGACAGGCACGCCGCCATTGCACCCGTACGTGTAGAACCTCTGGACCTGTCCATGTACACATGTAGCATAAGAGAAGCAGGAACAGTCACCATCGTGCAAGATAAATTACATTTATATCGGCAGGCATTCACTCAATGGAATTGCAAGATTCACTCGAAGTAGGAGATTACACCAGGGTGGATACACTAATTCCCAGCTGTGACACCGTCTCAACTCAAACCACTTCAATCAACTAGCAGTGTTGAGTAGTTAGCCATCATCACGTAAACGATATGCTGATTTTTTAGTTTATCCTTAATCCGTTGGGTGCGCCAACCCATGAACTTCATGATGAACCTGCAAGGAACATTCTCATTTAGGACGTAGTCAGACCATGGCAACTGTGGCTGCCATTGACATATAAACAGCACGTTCAAAATTCTAATCAAAAGTAGTATTCTACCAATTCCTCGACGTTGACATCCCCCGGTGCCTTCGACATGGTCCTTGTAGCCTTTCTCTCAATTTTGCTGGCCATGTCCGTGGGCGTCCTTGGCACTCTGAATTCGAAATTGCAACAAAAGTGAGTACCCACGTTCATGGCATAGCAAACTAAAGCTTCGTTTCATGATGGAAAAGCGATGTCCATACTTGCTTTTTCACACCAGTGTCAGATACAGTAGTCGCGCGGCCAAGAACGTTGTTTTCAAGGGGTTAGACTGGGACGTTCTTATCTTGTCAGCAATCTGTCTGCGTTCATATAGCATGTTCTTAGAAACAATCCGCCCTGGATTATGTATCCCACAAGCTGCCAGAAAACAAACACCGCAGTTCTTAGCTTTAGGCTGTGGCGTTCTTAGAATTTTAGGCTGGACGTTCTTGGGCTCCACGTTCTTCAGTGCGCGACTCTACTGTATGGACTTTGCCACTGCAGTGTGGAGGTCTTCCGGAGATTCGGATTATGCCCCCGGGGATCTTGTCTCTTGCCGCAGTCACGCCAGGCGCGTACAGCATGCCGAATACATAATCCATGTAGATCACAGCTCACCCCAGTACCAGACACACTGAACTACAAGTACCATCGTGAATGCCGTCATCTTCAAGGAGGAAGAAGATGATGTCAAGGGTGTCGAATAAATAATAGGACACACATAATATTCTAGACGACGAGAAAATAACATGCTGTTAGGCATTACATCAGGACACTTGACCACAGTTTCTGGTCATCAAGTTGAGGTATCGATCAGCTGCAACAACACAGATTGTTTGTTGAAGTACCTCAGGGTATCTATGAACGACGCACTTGAGCGGCGTCTAAAGAACCTTCAGTGTACGGCACCACAATGGAAGAAATAAATTATCAAATAATGGAGATTAACTGCTTGACTACGTTTTAAGCCAGTGCAAAACCCGAACATAAAATTCACCAAAGAACAAATCAGAACAAATGGGATAATATAGCAATCAAGGTCAGGTAAGGAGGACACAATGACAGCACTTAAGATGAAGGTATGATTTCTCCCGAAAGCGGACACAAAACAAGGGCAAAATTGACCATGATTTAAACAAGCATCTTCATTCCAAGTGTGGGGGGGGGGAGGAGGCAAAACCTACAGGAGTATAGGAAATAGGAGGCTACCACAACAAAACACAGTCCTCTACTTCATCCGCCCTCTTACTTATACGAACCCTAACTGGTAGACGAGACATCGAAAAGGATTTCTTCGAATAGGTGAAAAGGGGTGGATGAAATGTCGCTGAACACCCATCACCGTGCATGCGTCACCAAACTCGACCTCAATAGGACCCCTGTTGAGCTTGTTACCTATTCGTACACGCATTGACTGGAGTTCGTCGAAAAACCCTGACATAGCCACAGTGTACTTGTCCCTGTACTCAGCTGCTCCGGATTGTGGTGAGTCGTCCTCGATATCTATACATATGTACGAGTTCTCATCAAGGAGAGAGCTATGGATGGATGAATTTTTGTAGATGATCTTACAATTTCTACCACAAAAAGCGTCCAAGAACTCTTTAACTTCATGAATTGATTCGAATTCCATTGTGATGGACAATTGCGTTGTCTCCTCCACAGCAATGAGTAGTTTGCGGGGCGTGTGGCTATAGTCCATGTACGTATCAATGAACACGGCATTGGCGTGACACTCAAGGGTTCCTAGGAGGGTCGTGATATTAAGCCAACTCTGGCAGGTGCCTATAATCCATGGCAACAGCTTCGCGCTCTCAAGCCGAGAGAATGGCACGAGGCGAGCGGACGTTTCGTAGTCGAACAGAGCATGGGCAACGGAGAACAGGCTCATCAGGCTGCCTTGCACAGCTTCAAGTGAAGAATCCTTACGCACATTGCACCTAACATTGCACTCCAGGGTGGCACACTTCCAAATGTATCCATCAGCTTCACCAGGGTCAGCACAGAATTGCATGTCATTCTCACATTGTGTGCACTGGATCTTATTCTCAATGACTTGTCTTCTTGCCAAATACTCCAGCAGTGACCTCTTGTCCTGTACGACCGCCACAGAGTCCTCTCCTGACAGTTCCTCATCTTCCACTTCATCACTGGTGAAGAGCGTTGCCGGATCTGCAATAGTCGTTCGACCAGCTTGCTGCTCAGGATGCGCAGGGAAACCAAGGATGTTGGCTACAGATGCCATCGTTGCTAAACCATCTCTCAGGCACTGATTTTCCTTGAATACTGACTGGTACATGAAGTAACAAGCTTATTCACTGTTTTCAAGCTGAACTCACCAGCTATTTTAGAAAGAACTTGTCGGGCTCAAGTCCACACCATGTTGCGTTGTTTCATCACGACTTACATGACACTAGCAGATCGGCAGGTACCGTTTATGAACTTGAGCGCGTGAATTTCCAGGCTGGAGGAGTGATTTTATCAAGCATCTAGAGCCAATATCGTTCTCAGCCAGAGCGTATGCAAACACTTTTCGAGGTGAAATCCTCGCCAAAACATCAACCTACCGGCACCTGCAGTATGACTGGCGCAATGAGCTGTACAGTGCAACATGGTGCCTTCCTTTTTATTAGTTTACAGATCAGCATCAGGCTGTAGACCCCTAGATAGGCTTTTTATGCCTCTTGGGAATCCCTCAATTCACAAATCTGTAAATGATTGGTCGAGGCCCAATATGTCCTGAGGAATATGAATTAGCCCTTTCCATGCTGGCCCCTTTTACTCCAGCAAACTGCCGTTCCAGCGCACTGACTCTCCTGGTGTCGTTTTGCGCACGGGTCCGAACGAATTCTTCTCTCAATTCAGTTCGTCTTGATGGATTTTCATGATCCTGGCCTTGTTTGAAAGATCAGGACCAAGCGAATCCATCCTGGTAGCTCTCAACTCAATATGCACGGTGGTGCAACTTCTACGTCCTCTTGAAACTACCTCGCGATGCCTCGGAAAGACACAGGAACTCGATCTCACATTCTTTTTTGGTTTCTTGTGCCAGTTCAGCCGATTTTCATGATTCAAACAGCGCTGCAAAACTAATATTCACGTGCTTCCGCTGGTGTCCATTACGCATGAGCCGTGCCAAAGGGAAATCCCCTGGCACGCAACAGAAAACTGCGAATGCATAAACAAAAAAATTCACGATCGCCCAGTGCCGTGAATTCCGTGTTCACTCCGTCCCCGCTCCGTCAATCTTTCTCCTTTCGCGAAAAACTGCATATCGCTTGAAAGCTGAGCTCAATACCTTTCCAACGATTTATCGATTGTCGCGATAGACTTATTTTTGACGGAGTTACAGAACTTTGTACACTGATTTATGCATTGCACGCGATGTACTGCGCAAATCTCCTGACATCTATAGACATCATTAGTCGTTTGGCGTACAGCGCATATGACGTCTATAGACGTCATTATAGACGTCATTATAGACATCATTAGCATGGAAAGGGTTAAGCCAGCACATAATGGTATAGAAGGCATGTCGCTATGGTCACGTCTTGTGCAGATAACTCTATTTAAAACGTCCTGATCTCTGTCATCGTCAACTTAGTGTGATATAGTATCACTGCTTCTCTGAATAGGTGGACCTCCTTCACAAACTCACACTGCATGTGCAGGTGTGATGGGGCAAAGGACCTTGAGTTGAGTGGTGTAGCACTGCAAGTTACTAATCTTCCAATACGACATGGAAAGAAGGAAGAACACCAAAGATACAAGGGATGAAACTCGGCGATGAAATCAAAATGAAAATTTGAAATAGTCTAATCCAAAGCCGAGGCAGGCCCAGCATGTCATTGCTTGATAATATTATTTCATGGACTGCACTTGACGTGCAGTCCCTGCTCGCTGCTGCACGCGATCGATTTGTATGGCGCTCGCTTGTTCATACTTGCTCTGTGATGCCCCGACGGCCGTAGGGCTATGGGCTTGTGATGATGATGATGATGATGATGATGATGATGATGATGATGATTTTTTTTTTTTTTTGATGATGAAGCCACTTCTTTGGGCAAACAAAACACAATTTCCCAAGATGAAGGAGTGGAACCCTACACAAATAATAGTTTAAATGAATCCAACGCAAAGATCGTTTTTCCATGAAATACAACAATTGAACACAATTACATGCTTAAAGGCATGAAAGCAACAAAACAGCAACAAAAGGGTAAGCGCCATACCAATCCCGCATGCACAGTCAGGACACAGCACGATACTTAACAAACTAGACCTGACTCGGCCACGGCAATCGAGACATCATGAAAACATCTCGCCGGATGGTGGTACCGTGACCGAGCCCCACGTATGCACAACACAGCAGCACGCAGCAAAGCAAAAGACAGCCGACAGCGGAGTAAACCAATGACCTGGGAATAGTGAGATCCCGATGACTCGGCCTGCATCTGGCACAGTCTCTTGAGGAACACATTGCACAGCCTCCCACAACCACCATGCACAGAGAACACGAGAGGTGTGAAAGCGGCTCTTTCTACATTTGTGACTCTTGGCCCATATTCGTTCCACTTACGCCGCTCGTGCTGCTGGTACAATGCAGGAAGGGTTCTGGACCCGTAGGAAGGAGCAT